GTCCATTGTTGCAGCTATTTGACCGCTCTTGCTGAGGGTTTTCAGAAAATTGCTCTGCGTCGTTATACTGACTGTCTCCAAAAATAGAAAATGGCTTGGAAAACGGGGGACTTCCCAAGTGACGATCCAACGAGGCTCGGATCGCGGTAAGTGATATTTTCTTGTAAAAACTGGCCGTCTTGCTTTTTCGCTGACAGATAAAATTTCTGAAGACGTTTGTTTAGCTCTGGTGGCGACATTTCTTCAAATTAAATGGTGTTGCAAACTCTTTCTGTATTTGAAACCATTCTGTAAAAAAATACATTCAACTTTGATTTTCAAGTGAACAAGTAAGGTTACGCAATATTAATTTGCATTTGTAAACAAAACCTTTCTCATTGGTTTTTATTGATAAACTCCGGGTTAAAAACCCAGACCATTACCTTTAAACACGGCCAAACTAAATTTAGTCGCTTTCTTTGTGTTTTCAGGGACTGCTTCGTCGTTAATTTGAGTGATTTCTTCGTTTGTCACGGTTTCAAACCGGGACGCCATTTTTTTTCCGAGTTGCTCCGACGTAAATAGCAAAGGATATTCGGACTAGCCAATCAGAGCGCACCTTCAACGCTATCCACTGTTTTAGTATATACTAAATATCTGTATTTCATTGTAACCTATACTCTTAGTAATAATAAGTAATGTTCCAGTAATGTTTCTTTCTCCTGCCATTCCTGTGGCGAATGAATTAAACTAAAACTAAAACTAAAACTAAAACTTAACAAATATATGGACAATAATTTATGATCCCTAAAGTGACGGTATACTGATATTCACCTTACTGCCTAAGCTAAACTTGCCAGAAACTGGTTAAGTCGTTTTGAACTGGGTTCCTGTCAAATATTCATTCAAGGCGAAGCATAAGTAGCTAAAGATCTGCTTTCGATCGGGTGGCTCATTTTAGGTAAAGATTTGATACATGAATTTAAGTCATGATTGTATAGATAGTTACATATCAGAACTAACTTTTGTAGAGAGGCTTTGGACGACCGATTAAGGAATATCAAATCTCTTGATAGTTAAGTAATTTCATTTAATTTTCTGTTCTTGTTACTAATTTATTTGGTTTTCTTTTATATATATTCCACGGTTTTGGCTTTGATAAAAACGATCAGGACGTAAGTACATGTTTTATTGTCAAATAAAGCATTTGTATTTGCATGGAGCCTTTACAGTGCGCTTACGTTCACACATTTAACTGGGATACAGGTGTTCTATGAAGGAGAAGCTTGCAGTATTTCTCAATAAACAACCGGATGTCTATGAGCAGAAGATGCATAGCTTAATTTTATTTCTATTTTTTATTTTACATGCTACTACCTCAATCACTCAGCTGGTAAGTTGAAGAAAACTTATCTCGCGCAATTTTTATTCTTAATTGTTATGTTCAAGACGACAATGTTTTCTTTAGTGCTTAAGACCCCATTTACGATAGGATCACGTATCAATCGCTTATTAATAATAATAATAATAATAATAATAGTGATAATAATAATAATAGTGATAATAATAATAATAGTGATAATAATAGTAATAATAATAATAGTGATAGTAATAATAATAATAACAATTGATCTTAATTCCCTCTAAGATAAAAAGACATATCTTAAGTTACATCAGCAGTTAGGAGTCTAAAAATACATAAGACATACTGTATACAAACAATAGAATGATAAAAATACATGACATATTATATACAGATTAGAAAGACCGGAGATTAGAATTAATTATTAGCCTATTTGCAAAAGCATTCTTAAATCTGTCAGTCTTTATATCCGGGCGATGAGCAGTTTGTTTCTGAGTCGGTACTTTGTTTCTTTCATCTTCGTAATGATGTTTTTATGCATATTCCTTTCGGAGCCCATGTCGATTAAGTCTTATAAAAAACAAACTCAAGTTCTTGTAACCTATTGTTCCCCCTAAGGAAACTCATACTAGTAGGAAGCATCTGACATCCAGAGCTGGAAAAGGCACATGATTATGTGAAATCAAATTTTGCATCTAATTGGTTTGGAGCTGTAGTGCAGGACTGAGCGTAACAAAACTCCGATGTGACGCTGGACTATTATCGACGATCCATTAAAATTTATTTTGCTACTGATAGAACAGTTTCAATCAATGAAATCTTCGCTGACATTCATCAATGTGTGTAAAGTGTATTTTTTTCTTCTTTATCTCGAATATTGAGCTCGATGCCTGCCTCCGTTAAATCCTTATCGGCGAAGATTATCATAACTGGCCTCTCATCGTCCGATCTGCTGCTTATCGCTGACGAGAAAATTCTTTCCGGTATTGATAGCTTTTCTGCTTTTGGATAGCGACTGAATCTCGTCAAGGACTGCAAATAAAAGTGTTCAATGTGTCCGACGTAGAACCATGAAATGTGTGACAAACGCAAAACAGAAGTATAGTTAGGGACAAGTATTTCGAGGGCTGGTCATAGGACTTACAAAATCAGTCAGACCCTTAACGTGACACCGTAATGTAAAATGAAGTTTAGAAATGTAACCCATCCTTGAATATTTCCGCTTCATTTTTCGGATTCATTTTCCAAAATCACACCCTGCTCTTCGAAATGTAAATTTAGAAGCTAATACTCGCTTCCCATATAAAGAGAAGCTACTGGAACATAATTCCTTCTAAAAAAATTGGTTCCAATTTACGATGAATTGGTATTCCATAACTTAAGCTATGTTAGTTACATTACTAACTGCTCCTCTTTTCTTATCTTATCTTTTCTGTTCAGCCGAAAGGGAAGGTAACTATCAATAACATCCGCTACTATAAATAAAGAACTCTTCCGTGGGTCATTATATACAAACATTTATTGTCTGATCACTGATCAGCAAATTGCAATCGTAATTAGAATAGAATCTCTGACTGGATATTAATGACAGTTAGCGATAGCTGTCACTGTTGAAATGTTACCATGGGAACGATGTAACTGAACTAAGAAGTATTAAGATGATATGTATATCCCAATACCTAAGTCCTGTAATAAATGATAATTGTGTGATTATCGTCAGATATCAGCCATATTTGGCGGATTGTTTGTTTGACTAAACAAATCCTGTCATCTATTTCAACATAAGGCATTGACATACCAAAAGAAAGTGAATGGTTCAAAGAGAAAAAAAAACTGATGAATATAGAAACGAATTAACATTTTTCAAAATTATTTTTCTTTTTTCCGGCGTTCTTTCCGGATTTATAAGCGGGTGAGTACGACGTGTTCAGTTTGTTCGTTAAACTTATGGCCGCGGTTGTTCGAAGGGCGGATAGCGCTGTACACTGGATAAATCTCTATCCGGTGGATAGCGCAGTGCGTTTTGGTAACACTTATCCACTGGAGAGCGATTTATCCGTCGGATAATGCTATCCGCCTTTTGAACAACTGGGGCATGGTGTGTGTGGCCAAGTAATCCAAGGTTATATTGAGCCACTTGTTTACTTACCGAATGTGAATCTTTCTTTTCATGTTCTCATCCTAACTGGTTTAACAGATTGTAAGTAGCCATGTTTAAACTATCATTCATCAGTAGACAAGATAAAGTTGGTTAAACAAACGAAATGTTCGAAATAGAAGGATACAGACAGGATCAAATGTTTCTCGGTGGATCAGTGGATGAGTGTGCAAAGATGCAACACAGGAACAAATGTCTTATGTATTAGAACAGTTGAATTTCAACATTCGGCCATCTTCTGGTGGAGCTTAAGAATTAAGAACTGAGTACATTAAAATCCTGTCTGTTTCTTTGAGCATTTTTGTACAGTCATCTATTTAAGCACTAGAAATCCGTGTTACTTTTCTGGGCTTGATAACATGATAAATCCCTCAGAGGTGTTGGAAGAACAAGAATGAAGGTTATAAATTGAGAACTTTTAGGCGGATGATTTATAAGCTTCAATCCATCAATATTGTAACGTGGAGATTTTAGTTGGAAGTCACCTTTCAAATTAGAAAATCTGGATGCAGACGGTAATACTTATTTACTTTAGTATCCTTTGTGATGAGCTGCGGGTTTATGCAGCAATGGACGTAAAGAGCATTAAAAAGTGATGACATGCGTTGAAGAAGTTAACGATTTGACGTAGGACTCTTTTCGTACAACATTGTTTTCAAAGGTTGTATGGGGTGGTCATCTTGGAGTGGTGGCTGCAAAGAGTGCAAGTCTTTGCAGTATCGGGAAAGAGTTGGTATGTGACAAGAGGAAAGTATGTGGAAAGAGGAGAGTGCAGTCCCGTGTTTTTACCTTCGTTTTGCAGCTTCAAAAAACTGTGCATTTATTTATTAGCTTTAATTCAGATGGATGAATTAATAATAATAATAATAATAATAATAATAATAATAATAACAATAGGACATTTATAATGCGCAAATTCCATAAAATGTTCAAATACGCATGAAAAGATTAAAACACGAGTTAAATAGGCTAAAAAGCTAAAATTATAATGAAGAGTAAATTTACAATTATTTAAAAAGCTAAAATTACATTTAAAAGTAAACTCACAATAATAAAAACAACTATGATAACAATGCAATATAGATTGCGATTAAAGTCAATGTCATTACACAATGCGCCATAGATTGACAACCAAGCTTGAACTTTTACCGACTATTGTTTAGAAAATATAAATTATCTTACTTCCAGAATTCAACTGCACAAGAACTCAGGAATCCCGGTCTTGTAAATGTAAGTGGTTTTATGTATATGGGGAAAGTAAAAGATTTCTCGTGCGTTGGTTGAAAATACTGCACAGATATCAATTACTGGCCTTTTATCAACTTCCAAGTTCTTTCATAAAGATACCTTGGTTTTTTCAACTCAGTGGATAATGTGAATTGGCCACCGCAAAGGGTTTACAAGCTGACGTTTCGAGCGCTGGCTCTGACGATGGGCTAACGCTCGAAACGTCAGCTTAGACATTTTTTTGCGGTGACCAATTTACTTTATCAACTCAGCATGCTATCTTTCAAGGATCACATTACTAAACAGCTTCAACAGGTATACGGTAAAAATAGCGCACTCAGGAGAATAAGGCGTTTTGTCCCTGGAAATGTTATGTTAAGGCGCTATAAAACTTTTATTCTCCCTCATTTTGAATACTGTTGCCTCCTCTTTCTTGGAGTGGGGGAAAGTGCAAGTGAATCGGCTAGAAGATGCCAACTATTATATTCTTAGATCACTGATAGGCTATTTGCAACTCTACCCTTTATGATGAATTGTTGTGAATCTTGAAAATGGAAACGTTAGAACAGAGAAGGAAACAACAATCCCTTATTCTGTCATATACATGTTTGCATAACGACGGTCCCAAGTATATCAAAGATTTTCTTAGTTTTAGGGAAACTATGTACAATCTGAGAGGAACCGGCATTAATTTGTGTGCACCTAGATTTCATTGAAATTTTATGAAAAAATATTTTACCTACATGTGTGCGTAGCTGTGGAATGGATTACCTACAAGTGTGAAACTGGCCAAGAATATCAACCTTTTTAAGAAGCTATTAAGAACATTGAAACTTTAGCTGCTTCTCCAGTATTCAAGTGACTCTGAATTTCATTGTATAAACTTAATTCTTAATGCTAATTTTAAGTTATTTAAGTTATTTCTTCACCATTTTATACCTGTATTTAAGTGACTTTGAATTTTATGGTACAAACTTCAATTTGAATGTTAATTTTTAGTAATTGCAATTTCTAATCTATTTGGTCTTGACAGTATGTATTAGGTTTTCTTCAGATTCTTAATCTTAGAGGCACGTACGTATTTTTAACGAGCTCTACGAGCTCCTTGACGCTACGTGGGTAAATAAAGTATTGATTGATTGATTGATTGATTGATTGAAAAAGAAAAGGTTCTCTTGAAATTAATTATCGCCAATTAAATTAGATTTAACAACTCGAGGGAAATGCTTTGTGAGGGGGTTCTCCTGGAACAGAGTTCAATTGGACAAAGGATGGAAAGTTATTTGGTAACATAAACATGCTCACCTTTATTGATCGACTAAATTATGGAGTCACTGGTCAATGCGTGTCTAGTTAAAACACCGAGAGGGGAAGGAAAGCAGCTTTTCGGACCAAATGTCAGACTAATCTTATTTTACTTTTACTCTTTTAGTAAATCTCTTCGTTGTTCTGTTTATTTTGTTTTTCATCTATCACCTACTTTCAATTATTTTTGTCAATTGTCTGCCCAGGTCCTCCCACAATTAATCCTCTGCTCAAGAATCAGTCGGCGGTTGCATATAATTCATCGCTTCACTTCAATTGCTCTCTAAGCGGTATCCCTACACCTGAGGTACTCTGGACTAGGAATGGGGTGAATCTCAGTAACAACAACGCTCTCACGATTGTTAGGGCGAGGCTGAACGACTCTGGCCAGTACACTTGCAGCGCCAAAAACAGCGAAGGGAGCAATAACACAACTTTCTGGATTGAAGTGGCAGGAGGTATGGTTGTCATTTATAAAAAAATAAAAAAAAGGAAAAGCTGGAGTCTATTATCAATTTAATTTTTAAAGTAACAAAAAAGTCGATTCTTTGGCTCCAAATCAGATTTAACGGCTTGAAACCACTTATAGATCTACTTCATGAAAATGATAAGAAAAAAATCAAATGATGATGACATTTAAAGAGCGAGTACATGTCAACTGATATACAATAGTTTTTTGGTAGCCTTAATCGATTATTCTTTGGAGTGTCGAGGAATTTTGATTGTATAGATCTCAAAGCTCCATTATTTTGACATGGCATTGAATATAAAAAGTTTGTTTAAGATTTGAATTGACCTTCCAATTTCTCTCCTCATCAAATTGCTTGATAAATATCAATGACTGAGGAGTCATGACTTCATGTTCACTATGAGAATTAGTAACAGTGTACTCGTTATAGTTTGTCAAAGCGGCTATCGGTGCATCATTATCTAGTAAGTATATATTATTGAGGTTTGGAAAGCGATTTTTCTAAAAACGTCCATGAAAAATAATTACCGAATTTGAATTTCTAAATCAGCGACCGAAATTACAAAGAGATATATGAAAACAATCCTGACGTCATTATGAACTTGTACCTTTGTTACAACAGACAATTTGAGCGTATACAATGACAGATTTGATGTAATGTTCTCACGCAATTGAAACCTTTTTGCAATTTTGTTTTTACCATCTTTGCCGAGCTATACATCGAATTACACGTATACTATGATTTTGTAGAAAATCGTAATCTTGGAAAATGGTAGCATCGCTTGTTGAAATTACACCTATTACACCTACTAACCAATAAGAAAAGGACGAAGAAATGATTGAATAGATAATAAATTTAGTATCGCCCCGTACGTTTGCTAAGATAGGAAATGTTAGGCAAATAAAAAGTCCATTTTTAACGTCACATTGGGTTCAGCTATACCTTTCTTTATCAAACGCGAAGAAAACTGATTGCGAAATAGCTTGTATTAAAAATAGGTTTGAGAATCACGTAGTTTGCTTTTACTTTGAAACGAGCCGGGGGGAGTTTTATATTAAAATGGACAATGCGACCCTTTGTTGAACTTGGTGATCATTTCACTTTAAGTCTCTCCCCAGATCATTGTGCCTCCAATAGACCAATCTATTACCGAAGGATACCCTGTAAACTTTAGTTGCAAAGCCACAGGTGTTCCAACACCAACATTAGTCTGGGTTTTTAATAATGGTGGCCTACAACCTGTTATCAGTAAAGCTGATCAAGAAGGAGCGTCATTCCTGGAATTGCCACGTGTCACAAAAGGGATGGAGGGGACTTACAAGTGTACAGCAAAAAACAAAGAAAATACGACCAGTTCGTCTGCAACACTGCTTGTTTATGGTAGGTTCAATTAAAAAATAATAATGTTGTTAATTAACACGAAGATGAATGGGAAGATAAAGATGTCGGAGATGAATGTGGACATGAAGATAAAGATAAATTAAAGATAAATTAAATTAACGATAAATTATTCCTCACCACCTCCGTCACGGAGGTGGTGAGGAAGGAGGGAAATAGGAGCTCAAGGATTGTAAATATATACTGCTTACGGACTACACGCAACTTCCATTATGAACTCAGGTGTACACCCACAGAGAGTCCAAAGAAGGAATAGGTATAATCATTATTGAAGTTTCATTTTCATCGAGTTAAGAATCTTCTTAAGTCTGAGTATGCTCAAGAGTCAATACAGGTGATATCAATCCTAAGTAATAATATTCTTGAGCCTGTTACATTACGTAGGGATAAGATTTATAACAAATTATATTACTCTAGAGGAATCCGCTATTTGAGTCAACTGAGTAGATCTGGAAAGATTAAAAAACCAAAGAAAATCTAAAAGTAATGGCGCTTTCGTTTGTTGATTAATACGTAATACTTCAAAATATGTATTGTACATCTTAGCTGGAACACTTTAACGAAGATGTTCCGACGACGGAGAGATCCAGGAGGTTCAAGATAGAGCAGGAGGATTTGCAAAGGAAAGCGAAACTAAAGGGCCATCTTTGCATGTGACACAAAAATTAACAATCTTGACAATAAACAAGGTAGTGGAAGAAAAAAAACTGCTTCCATTCCTGAACGAAATATGCGGTAAAATGACGATGAAATTTTCGAAATAATTACCTTGGATACTTATTTCTCCCGCATCTATATCCACATAGTTGATTTGCGGAACTTTTTAACTCGTACTGAGACTAAGTCAATTGAAAAGTTCGAAGAACATTAACTAAAGGCCACATCTTGATCGGCTCGTTTCCATATCATTGTTTATTCGTTTGTTTGTTAGTTTGTTTTGTGTCGATACTACCGTTGTAATTTCAATGTGACATTAGTATTTGAATCGATTTTCTCTCTTCCCATGCAGGAAAAGCCTCTGCTCAAGTTGTTTCAGAGACATATTCAAAACTCACAACGGGAGAAGTCCTTGCATTGACCTGCACAGTCAACGAGGAAACCGTAAACATAACATGGAAAAAAGACGGAGAACCATTAACAGAACGAGCAGTTATAGAAATCCGATTAGATGAGAAAATTAGCAGACTTGTTATCATTAAAGTTGTGGAAGGGGACAGAGGTGAATATTCTTGTGAAGCAAGTAACCAGCTAGGAACTGTGGCTCGCTCTTCGGTGACATTGGATGTAGGAGGTAGGTTGCTGTGACTGTGAGGCCATCGGTATAAACTATAACCTCGACTTTTTATATTCCTAAACTTTTCCATTGTTGTTTATCCATCTTCTTGAAACTAAGATCATTAGAGTCGGTAGCAGCATCTCAAACGTGGAGATAAATATATAATTTGGCATGATGACGTACATCGTATTACGGGTGCCTGTTTACTTGATATTTCTTATGACTGTTTCCATTTCTGCCGTAAGATGGATATTAGTCTTTAGTGAGTATCATAGGCCATCAGATTGCATCACCTTAACACAAGCGGTAAATAATACCACGGTCAAATAGCCTCTAACCTCCCGGTTAGCTCAATTGGTATAGCGCTGGACTGTTGTGCGGGAGGTCGAGAGTTCGACTCCGGCCGGACCAACACTCAGGGTCTTTAAATAACTGAGAAGAAAGTGCTGCCTTTATAATAATATCTGCAAATGGTTAGATTTTCTAGTCTTCTCGGATAGGGACGATAAATGGAGGTCCCGTCTCACAAGCCCTTATATGCAATAGAAATTGTAGGACGTTAAATAACCGACACACTCTTCGAAAAGAGTAGGGCACGTAGTGCCCGGTGTTGTGGTCTATCTTTGTGTAGTGTCTAATCTAGGGTAAATTGGAGAGGGAAGGTGAGATCAATACGTGGACTGAAGTGGCTGCATATTGCGCCATATTGATGACTTCTGACGTCCAATCTCACCTTAACTGATTGTAAAGCGCGACTAATTATCTATATAGTAGTTTGCGCTATATAAATGTTTAATTGTTGTTGTTGTTGTTGTTGTTGTTACGACAAAACAAGGAGTAATAATTTTACCCTTCTACTTTTCTACCCTGAGAATTGGCGAGACCGGATGCGGAAGCTCCTTCCAGCAGCTCACTGGAGTGGTACTACATTGGCGGACCTGTGGCTGCTGTCATTTTCCTCCTGGCTNATCCAAGTGTAAATCGAATCGCTAGCAAAATGCTGCTAGATCAGTTTGTCTTCCAGCCTGTGAGTTACGGCTGTGTTCGTGAAATCTTAGACAATCTAAATCCCCGGAAGGCTGTTGGCGTAGATGGAATTTCACCGCGTCTCTTAATGCTCGTTGCTCCCATCCTAGCGAAGGAGATAACACAGCTGATTAAAGATCTGATTATGAACCAATCATGGCCAGCCGAATGGAAGAGTGGGAACTTGGCACCGGTATTTAAAAAGGATGAGGATAAACACAAAGAAAATTATCGTCCTGTTTCCATTCTTACCGCCATATCTAAAGTGTGCGAGAAGGTTATGTTTGACCAGCTGTACGGCGCTTTCCATGAACATCTCTTTTTTATCTATCTGGGTTCTTGAAGAAACACTCTTGTTGCACCGCACTCTTGAGGATGTCTGAGGACTGGAGACGAAGCCTTGACAACAGGGAGACAGTTATAGCCGTGGTAGAGACCAGTCCAAAGCATTTGATTCTATTAGCCATAACATCCTATTGACTAGATTAAAAGCGTATGGCTTCTCTCCGTCTACATTAAACTTGATTTCTTCCTATTTCTTGGGGCAAAGACAGCAAGTTAAGTTGTCCGGTGTCTGTTCTAGCTACTCAGAAGTAATGGTAGGCGTCCCTCAAGGGTCCGTCCTCACCATTATTATTGATCAACTGAATTATGGAATCACTGGTCAATGCTCGTCTAGTTAAAACACTGAGAGGGGAAGGAAAGCAGCTTTTCGGACCAAATGTCAGACTAATCTTATTTTACTTTTACTCTTTTAGGTATTCTCTTCGTTTTTCTGTTTATTTTGTTTTTCATCTATCACTTACTTTGAATTATGTTTTTCAATTGTCTGCCCAGGTCCTCCCACAATTAATCCTCTGCTCAAGAATCAGTCGGCGGTTGCATATAATTCATTGCTTCACTTCAATTGCTTTGTAAGCGGTATCCCTACACCTGAGGTACTCTGGACTAGGAATGGGATGAATCTCAGTAACAACAACGCTCTCACGATTGTTAGGGCGAGACTGAACGACTCTGGCCAGTACACGTGCAGCGCCAAAAACAGCGAAGGGAGCAATAAGACAACTTTCTGGATTGAAGTGGCGGGAGGTATGGTTGTCATTTATAGAAAAAAGAAAAGGAAAAGCTGGACTCTATTATCAATTTAATTTTTAAAGTAACCAAAAAGGTCGATTCTTTGGCTCCAAATCAGATTTAAGGGCTTGAA